TTGGCCTCTGTACTCTCAATGCACAGGCAGTGCGTCAGAGAAAGCATTCGTTCCGTGTTATGCCTGTCAGAGCGTCTGAATGCGCACATATGCACGTTTCCGCACACACCCCCACCCCCCCCCCACACACACACACACACACACACACACACACACACACACACACACACACACACACACACACACACACACACACACACACACACACACACACACACACACACACACACACACACACACATATATATATATATATATATACATATACATATACATATACACACATATATATATATATGCATATACATATGTATACACATACATGTATGTCTGTACTGAATATACATACGTACATAGGTCCGTACGTGCGTATGTATGTATATGTATCTGTATATATATCTGTATATATATATATATATACGCATGCATACACGTATGCCGCGTCATGTCATGTATGTATGTACACATGTGTGTATGCGTGTATGGTTTATGTATTATGTGTACATGCATGCATGCATGCATGCATGCATGCATGGATGTATATGTGTGTATGTATGTATGTATGTATGTATGTACGTACGTACGTACGTAGGTATGTATGTATGTCTGTATGTATGTATGTCTGTATGTATGTGTGTATATACATGTGGGTGTGTTTGTGTGTCTTTATGTTTGTATGCATGTATGTGTGGATGTGTGCTTGTGCATTTGTATGTGTATGCGTGCATATGTGTATGTGATGCATGCGTGCCTTACCTTCGTAAGCGTTGTTCCTAAATCATAATTATTGCATTTCCCCCAACCCTGAAGTCTTCACAAAGTCCTACAGCTCCAGGTACGAACTTTTAATGGCCCGGCATCCCAGTGCTATTTTAAAACTTCCGTGTTCTTGCAATTTGAATTGAATGTTCAGGAGTTCTGGCCTGGTTGAAAAGGACTCTTCTCTCGGCTATGCGTGGTGTACGGTTGGAGAGCCAGTTGATTCAGATTGATGTGCTTGGTGTGAGTAAGTAGTTGGCGGCTGTGGCCTAGCAGAAGCTGTTCGTAGCAGCAATGTGGCATTGGCCCCTCGAATTACAGTAACAGTGGGAGCAAAAGGGCAGTGAAACCGCGCTCTCGCCACATCCCCCCGGGCTCCTGAATGTGGTCTCGAGATCATGCTCTGCGGGGGGGGGGGGGGGGGGGGGGTTCGGGACTTGTGAATAGTTGGAAATCGTGTAGCCGCCGTATTTTGGGTGCGACTGGGCTGATGCTTTCCGAGTGAGAGCATCGTGCTGCCACAGTTGAGGTAACGGGTATGCTCGTGGAATGGATCTTGCGTGTTATCTTGGGACGCCGATTGCACTTTCGCCTTCGAGGGTTGGAGAACTGTTAAGGAGTTTTGACAGTTAGCCTTGCTGCTTTGGGTGGCAGCTACCCTTTATCCCTGACTGCCTGTGTTGCCTCAAAACCAAAGGTTCATGGAGTAGCGCTTTGGTACCAACCCATCACAGTTAATGATCAGAAGCAGGCACCTTGATCTACACAGGCCCCCCCCTCCTAGAACGAATGCGTAGGTCCTGACCCCTCGAGGCAACCCTGAACCCGACAACGCTTCAAACCCCAAAACCCTCCTGGTTTAGGGTTTAGGGCGCGAACTCCACCTGGCCATCAGGTGCCGCCCAGCCACTGGCAGTGCCCAAAATGCGGTGAGGCCTTGCAAGATCCAAGTTGAAAGAACATGTGTCAAAGTTGGGTTTAGCACAGCACCTGGGGCTTTAGAAATAGTGTCCCCTGGGAAGAGATTGCGTAGTGTCAGACTTAAAGACAAAACGAGCGGTAAACCAAGAATCCTTCATGGCTTTCCGTTCCTACCTCTTGCGGCCCAGAAACATTAGGCCCAGGTGGTAGTGATATATACAGGTGTTGCGACGGCTCTCCGCCTTTGGGTGTGAGCTGGGTCATTCCGAAGGTTTTTCCTTCCAGATCCAGAGACTCCCAAACTTCTTTACATTAAATCTTATTAATGTACCCACATACTATGTTTTAAAGGGGTTTTGGAGTCTTGAGGTTTATGGCAGGTGGGAATCAGCTTCTTTTGGCGACCTCATCCGGGCTGCTGTGCGCAGGACAACAAGCGCGCACGGGCCTCCTGCAACGTGTGCGGTGCTGATCGCGAAGGCTAGCGGCTAGACTGATTGTCTCAGGTTGAGGCTTTGGGGCCTTCCTGGACCCTATAATGAATTCCTTATATAGGTCTTTAAAACGGTCGGGCTTATGTGGCTTCTAGTTCACCCATGTGCCGGTGGTTCTGCTGAGCTGTGTTTTTCCGAGTCCTTCTCTGCCAGCAACGATGTGTTCACACCGGGTTGCAGTCCTAAACCCTAAACCTAGGGTTTAGGGTATAGGGTTTAGAGGCTTAATGATCCCCGAAACCGCCTGTGCATTGTTGCTCAGAGTACTGCTCATGCACATCTAGGGATGGACGCCCCAGGCTGCAGATGGCTTTGTGAATATACGA